TTTTATTCTCTATTGTATTGCTTTACCAAAAAAAGGGTGAATAAGTATTATGTCAAAATATTAATAATGGTTGTCTCTAGCTAGATAGAGAGTTTGGGCTATTTTAGACAATATAACATGTATTATTTTGGTAATCAGAGAGAGAAAGTGCTCTTAATTCAGAATGGGGGAGCAGGTAGTACAACTTAAATAACGAGAAGCAGATAAAATGTGACTGATTAGATTAAATGCAGGTAATTACTTAGCCATGAAATTGCCCTGCCCAATTAAATAAGCAGTCATTACTGTAAATGTGTGCTTTGAAGTGGATGCTGCTAGATAAACTCCAGCACAGCTTTCCATGTTTTGGAATAAAAACAAGTGTGTATCGCCAACACACTGGATTTTACAACCTGTGTTTACCAAGCTTTTGTTTTTATTTACTGTATTTTAGATAAAACTAAGAGAACTACTTTTGCTGACCTTTAAGCTTTTCTCTTTACAGGAAATACAATAAAGATTTCAAGTTCCTGGCTCCATCTAGTTTTAGTTGAAAATGTGGTAATCTACTATCCTTCTAATGCCATAGTCCCCAGCCAGAGACTGGGGCTGAATCCAGACTGGAACATTTGTGTGCTGGGTCTCTAACTTACTGCTGCTGCTGAACCCATGTTCTTTAGCACAGTTCACAGTGTGTGCATTGGGTGTGTTGGGTATGGTGAGTGCAGTGTGTGATAACATAGTGCGTGTACGCACATATGGTCTGCGTGCACAGTGTGTGTATGGTGTGTGTGCACAGTGTGTGTAAGCAGGGTGTGTGCATGTCGGTGTCAGTGTGGATCTGGTGTGGTGTGCTGGGACCCCTGGCAGGGAAAATATTGCAGGCAACTGCAGTATGCCATCCTCCCAACTCTGGGGCTTTACAATAAGCCTATCTCACTCACCCCTATATATTCTTTCGAACACTTCAAGGGTAGGGGAATGCTTTCTCACAACCCCTATCCCGAGTAAGCAGTGGCACTTGCCACATAGTAGGGCTTTATAAACTTATTTATTGAATGAATGGTTAGCTGAATGAACGAAACTGGAAAACCCGGACAGAAAAGAAGACCATTAACAATTTCAGGGTAGCACCATACCCTTTCTCTAGCCTGTATAACTATCACATAACTTTCCGGGAGAGTTTACTCCCAAATTGGAGAGAACTCAGCAACGACCTGTGCTCAAAAGTCTTGACAGTGTGAGGTCATGCTTGGACAATGATGGTGGGTTTTTAATTGAAGTTTTCTCTGCCACCAAGCTTTAAGTAGATGTATACAACCACTACATCTTTTTATATTTCTAGTCTTAAATGTTTCATGCTTTACTTTGATTGAGTCTATCAACTTGCCATCAGTCCATCACTAAACAGTATGCAATTACAGTTACATATCTTAGCTCTTTTCTCATGAAGGGAGAAAAGGAGTGACCATGGCTTAGTCACATGCTGGAAGCTAGTTAATTTACTTCTTAGAGAATAGTTAACATCGTTCTAATGTTCTTGCTCCCTGTTATGTACAGGTGAGTCATATAATTTTTTTCAAGATTTCATTTTATGACTAAGAGGCAACGGGTGCAGAAATTGTTCTCTTGATTACAAAAACTGTCTTCAACAAAATGATATTTCACAGATTTCTATTTAACCCAATTTAAATGTTTTCTCACATTTTGTTGTTTATCATTTGGTAATCTATAGCTTTTTAACATTTAAAGTTTTAATAGAACATGCTTGAATCAAAAGATATTTTCACCTTTCAGAAAAAGTCAATGAATTCTATCAAAGTAGACAGCATTGGAGAATAGAACATTTCTCTAAACATCAGCTCCAAAAGTTAAAACCAAACATTTCCATTAGCAAAGAGAATTAGCACTTTGCTGTGCATTAAAGCACCACTTATTCTGGCATACCTCAGGCTAATCTGTGTTTCTGAAGCTGAATGATTTTTGTGGTTTTTCATCTAAGTAAAGAAAACAGTGATAATGGACATTTTCCAGCTGCATACCTTCATGACATTCAATAGGTTTTATTTGGATTAAGAAATGCAATTGTTTTCAGAAGTTGAAGGGGTGGGAAATAAAACTGGCATGCACATTTTTACACCATCAAATTCTGAACTTGGGCCTTACACTACATTTACCATGTTAAAAAATAAACAACAGGCTGGAGTCTTGTCTGATTTACTCATCAATGGAACCTGGGGGAGATTTATGACCTGAGTAGAGTAGAAATAAAAGCAACCAACCAATTGAACAAAGATTGTATGCCAAATATCATAAATCTATAGCATCTTCCTACAAAATCTTCATGGAGACACTTATTAATCTTATTAAAGTGACTTGTTACAAGTAACTAATAAATGATGCCTGAAACTAAGCTTATTAATGTTTGTCACAAATACATTCATAAGCTTAGATAATTTGTTTTTACTCACTGATACCACAGACAAATGGCATTCTATCATTAGCAAAATAAAATGCCTATTTACCAGAAAAAAAATCATCAAGTCATTCTAAAATATTTCAGGTAATTTCCTTCACACAACTGCTACTAAAATATATGATCCAGGTCCATCTGTTACTACAGAATTTTTAAGATCATAGCAAAACCATTAACTATCAAGTAGTAAACACTCATCAAGGTATTCTTTTGAGTTAGGTCATTTAATATCCAATTTTCTGATAAAACTACTTCACTCAATTAAAAATTGAAAGGAAAAGGGGAAAGGGTGAATACCCAATTCTTTCCTGGTGTTTTACATTATCCTAACAAATTATAACAAGGCTTTCTGAAATCCTGAGGATTTATACACTGAATAACTATTCCCTGTTATTAACATTGGAGTTCCAATATGTACTGCTGGATTGAAGTACATCTTCGGACAACTTCAGGGTTAATTTTGCCATGACAAATTCATTTTGAAATTGGAAAACTTTTTATAGGATTATCCCTATCATCCAATTAAACCTTGCAAACTTCCTTTTTTATCTTATCTCCTCATCACATACATGTACACAGTGTGCATAACGTGCACACACATGCACACAGGCACAGGGTCTGGCCCCTACTATCCTACCACCACCATGTGTAATAGCCCTCCTCCATCCCCTCCACGCTGCTCTGTCCAGAGCCTACTACAGGTCTTGGTAAATCCCCCTTCCTAGATCTCAGAGAATTTTTAGGTCAACTCAAACTAGAATCTGGAGATTGGAGGCCATACTCAAACCTCACTAAGGACATACTTGGGCTCTTGTTACCAGCCATTATATCCCAGCTTGGATTGGGGGTGAAGTCTCATTACAACACTCACCTCTCAAAAAAGGTCAATAAAAGCTGTCTGAGTTGGCCCAGGCCACATCTCAGAGGGCTGTCTTTGTAGTCTAGAAGGCAATGATTTTATGTAAAAATTTGTTTATGCCAAAACTTAAAGTAAGTTTTAACTTTGAAGTGACGTGATCATATTATCATTTTACCTCACAGATATTAAAACAGATTTTTTTTAAGGGGACAATTTTCCCTGTTTCATCTCTCTTGCCCTCTTTTTTCTGGTGTGTGTGGCAGCTGCTGTTTGATCTGCTCATTGGCTCTGATTTGTTTCATGTTTCAGCCAAAGATTAAAACTGCTCTGTAATTCTAAGCAGATGGGCCTAGGAGTGCAGCCCTATAATTATACCTTCTTTCTCTGGCCCTAGAACTGCAAGTCTTCCATCCTGACTTTTAAAGTCTGGGATCACCCAGGCTCGGAGTGCACCTTGGCAATCAGGCAGGACAAGTCCCACCCCACAGGTTGTCTGCAAGGCTCTGGGAGCTCTGCTGTGTCCCAGAGCAGGAACCTAAAGAAAGACCCCTAAGGCTCCTACAGTGCTGGGCACTGATGTCTCTCCCCTTTTCTCCAGTGTAGGGATCAAAGGCTGATGCTGAGTGCTTGCTATAATGCATTCTGACACTCCCCTTGGTACTGGTCCTTCCTGCCCAGAAACTCTGAGCACCCTGAGAGTGCTGATCTCATCTGGGGAGGTTTGGGGTTGCCCGGGTGGGTGTTGAGGAAGGAGAGTCATGCTCCTGGTGGAGACACTTGGCTGCAATGTCTGATGTCCACCATCAAGGGAAAGTTAGCTCAGGACATCTGAGTCAGCACACTGTTCTGTCATCACCTGTCCTGACTAGCCACACCAATTAACCACAGAAACATGTCCTGGTGACCCCATACAATTCTGTCTTATTTTTCTCAGTCAATTTCTGGAGCTCTTAAAAGCGCTGATGTTTTCTGGCAAAGGGTTTACTAGAGCCCCTGAGAAAATGTGGCACATGAAGCACAGAAACGAAACGACCAAGCCAGAGCACGAGAGTAATAAGGAGTCAAGTTCCGGAGAACCGAGGAGACTGGTTTTAATTAGTACACCTTGGCCACGATAAGTCCCCTGCTCAGTGAAACTGCATCCAGTCCACTTGGGAGAAAACCCCATCACCACCCCTTCAACAAACACTAGTCCTCAGAAGGGCAGAGAGAGCCCAGAACTGTTTTTCCCCTTACAAGATCATAGTTTCTCTTTACAGCCCCATAAAAACTTGGACCACATCAAGTGCCTCTCCTGCACGCTGACACTTTGCAAAAAGAATTACAAAGCCTGCGATTCCCCGACAGCCTACAGCCTGAAAATCCAACGGTGCGAATAAGAACTTTCCCGGGGACTTGAAGCCACAGATTCGGGGGCCAGAAGGGGTGTGTGTGTGAGCGCTTGCACCCCTCCAGAAAGAAAAGTCCAGTCACAAAATAGCTCGGGGCGCGGCTGGGAAGAGGGGGCTCGGCGTCTAGGGAAAAACCGCCTCCGACAAGGGCGAGCAGGAGGACGCCGGGCTCGGACCGGCCCTACCGGGGGCGGCGGGGGAGCCGGGAGGCAGGAGCTCCAGGCGCGGGAGACCCGGCCCCGCGGGGCACGTCTGCCGGCCGCTCCCCCCCCCCCCCGCGCTGGGCGGCACTCACCGTGAAGCAGCAGGGCCGGGAACAGGTACGTGAGCAGGAGGCGGCCCGGCCCGGACATCTCCAGTCCTCCTCCGGGACCTCCGCGCGCGCCGAACCGCCCGGGTCGCTCGCCGTCGCGGGACCGACAACCCGGGAGCCGCCGCGGCGCCGCGCGCGCTCGGCCCTCCCGCCCGCCACCCGGGGGATGCGGCCAGGCGGCGGCGGCGCCGAGAGGGGCGAGCGGGACGAGCGCTCCGGCGCGGGCACCCGGGGCCGCGCCGCTCCTCGGCCAGCGCCCGAAGCGGCCGGGCCAGGCCCGCGCTTCAGGCGGCCGCGGCGCGCCCCATGCCCGGGGGGCGCGGCGCAGGGGCTGCGGGGCGCGCACTCCCTCCGCGCCGTCGGGCCCCGCGCGCCCGGCCCGGCCCTCTCCGCGCTCCCGGCCCCCGCGCGCTCGGCCGCCCCGCGCCCGGCCCCCGCGAGCCCGACCCCGCGCGTCCCGCCCCGGTCGCCGCGCGCGCCGCTCCGAGCTGCCGTGGCCGCCCGCGCCGCCGCCGCGTCTCTTCATATTTCCAGGGCGCCGCCAGCGGGGCGGCCGGGCCGCGGGCCGGGGGCGGAGCCGGGGCGGGGGCGGGGCGGGGCCGGGGCGGGGGCGCCCGGGAGGGGGCGCGGGGACTTGAAAGGGGTTCGGGCCCCGCCTCCCCCCTCGCGCCCCGCCTCCTCCCCCTTCCTCCCCCGCCCCGACCCCCAGCCTTCAGCCCCCCCCCCCGCCGCCCCTGCCGCGCTGGGCGGGGTCTCCATCCCGGGCCTCCGCTCCGCGCTGCCCTCTGCCCCCCGCACCCGGGTTCTGCGACCCCTTTCTCTCCGGTCCACCGCCGCCCACTCGGTGGGATCTTTCCGGAGGGGCTTACAGCCCTCGGCGCCCGGACCCTCCGGCAAGGAAAGAGAAGTTGCTTTCACGCTCCGCGCCTTCTCTTCCTTCACTTGTGGAAAGTGTTCCGAAGGGCCGAGGGGCGGTGAGGGGCGGCCGGCCTGTACTACTCAAGTGGGGTCGGAGAAAAGTCGGCGGGCAAAGATTTTAGAGCGTGTGTTGGGGGCCGGGCGGCGGGGGAGGGGGTTGCAGGAAGGGAGGGAGGGAGAGAAGAGGGAGGGAGACTAAGAGGAAGAGTTGGGTCCTGGACAGTTGCCCTGGGTGGGGACGCTGCCCTGCTCCGCTCCCCCGGGTGCGTGAGTGTCTCAGCTGAAAGTCGCTGCTGGGGTGAGTGCCGGGGCTCCCCTGGTGGGCACAGGAGCCCTCCCTGTCACAGGCCCCAACCTGTGCAGGGAACAGGGTAGGCAGCTGGAGCGCTTGCTTTTTCCTCCCCCGTCCAGAAAGCAAATGACTTGTTGAAACCTGGGAGATTCTGGGAAACAGTCTCCAAGAAAGTGCACCAGGGCCCTTTTCTGATTGCTCCTCTCTGCCGATCCAAATCTTTAATTTATGTCCTGTGGGTCTTTTGGAGGTATGTTCAATTTTGTATTGACTTTTAAGATCCGAGGGCAGGGCCAGCTTCCAGGCTCTTCCCTACTTCCCTGGGGCTCTGGTACAGACTGCTTTGTGGAGTCGTGGCTCCTGTGGGGCTGCTGTGCCCAGGACTCCAAGATTCTTCTGGGGGTTCCTCCCTCTGAAGACCCTCCTTGGGCCATTGACCCACTTCAAGGAGGAGGTTCATCCACTCTCCTATGCTAAAGGTCACCTCCTCCTCACTGTGGGATAAAAAGCAGCCTGGGACCAGATGGAATCAAGAGAACATTTCTTTACTAATTCTGCTGGTGTTTTTCATAAATAAAACACTTAAAAAAGAATCCCTGTCTCCCAAGAGAGTTTTCTGCCCCCTTAAATAATAATTCAACTCCGTATGCTTTAGACTTTCAAAACTACTCAAACATTAACATTGGAGTAAAACTTAGTTAAAAAGATGAGAGTACATTTGACAGTTTCTTTTTTTCTTTTTTTTTTTTGTTTCATGGAAAGTCATGGATCTTTTAATGTGATGGTACTGATACTGTTTGATGTGTTTTAATTTTATCACCATCATTATCATCTTTCCATCTTTAATATGAAGGATCATAACACATACCACCTGCCTAGCTCACAAGAATGTTATGAGGATTCATGTGCCAGTTTTTGCAAGTCTGGAAGATGAAAGACACTCTGTGTGTGATAAAAGAAAGCTCTCCTGGAAGCAGGAACGTTATTTTGACTTGATCTTTCTCTGCAGCATCTCTCTGGATGGACTTTTTTTTTCTGGTCTCTTGCTTTTCCCTGTTACAAGGTTTGGGTAGCAGATTGCGACTTGCAGGATTTGAACGTTGCCAAGGGTCAATTGGGTTTAAAGCAGGAACTTGATTTCCTCACCCATGCTGGGCAGTTAGAACTGATGTAAACAGCATAGTTGGCTGCTTAAGCAGAACATTAACCTTGTCATCAAGAACACATTCTAGGTGGAGTTCAGCTGTTTTAGTCATGTGATATCTTTTATTCTATCAGGGAATATTTGAAACAAGCAAATAAGAGTGTCTATGCACAAGCATCTGGGTTGATAGTACTTAGAAGCTGTTAAGGTCATTCACTTGTTAGTGGAACAGTGGGGTGATATATTACTCTAAACAATTATTTGATTTTGTTTTCAAAAGATAAAAAAAGAGTAAAACCAACAAGCCAGCCAGAATTTGGTGCCATCTTGAGAGTCAAGTTCATTTAATTTTTGTTTTTCCAACTGGTTTTACTGTTATGGTATAAACATAGCCCAAATGATGTCACCAGTTTGAAATTTGTTTTGCCAGTTTATTGACATGTGGTGTCAAAGACAAATGCTCAGCCCCTCACTAACATCCTGCTGGAGTCACTACTCCCAGAAATGCCCCCCTCACCTTCTGTGCCTAGAAGGTTTGGACTGCAGCTACAGGGCTCACTTGCTGCATCATTTTTCACTGTTGCTAGTGTACTAGAGTACTCATTCTGGAGAAGAGTGAGGAGGAAAAAAAAAAAATTTTGCCCGGTAGTGATTTTATGTGGATATATGCTAAAAGTAGTACAACTGGGAAAAAGGCATTTCCAGAGACATAAAAGGGTCGTTATTCATGAGCTTTGACTCAGAATCTGGTCCCCTGAAAATGATGCAGAGAGCCGCACTCAAGGGTGCTGATTACTTGGTCACCAGCTCACAGGACCACACATGTTTACTGAGTGGTCTTTTCCCATGAGACTGTTGATCCTAATGAAGAGCCTCTACCGTTGGCTTAGCTTTCAGTCAGAACCAGCCCCTTGCTCTTCCATAGGAACTCTGAATCACAAGCAACATTTCTAGAATGTAATGCTGGGCACAGAGCTTGTGTGATTACCCTGGCTTGATTTTCTTAGGAGGGTGCCTTGATTTTCAGCAGATAAAGAGGTAGGGAGCTCGGTTGCAACCTCAACCATGTAAAAACGGGATAAATACAGATGAGGGTCATTCAGCTGAGCATCCAGTCACCCTCAGGCCTAAGCTTGGAAGGGCCAATAAGAAAACTGAGGACCCGTAGCACTGAGAGAGTATGTGAGGCCAGCCAGGGGCAGGAGAAAATAAAGGACCTCAGTCCCATTTTTGTCTGTGCTTTCCTGGGACTCATTCTCTCTCATAGTGCTGCTTGCCTTGTATGCATCTAACTGTTTTATCTGCTTAGATCATTTGGCTCTTTGAAGGCAGGAAGAAAATTGAGTATTATTTGCATCTCCTCCCCCAGGAGAGTAGAAGGCCTTCACAAGTCCTTCCATAATGGGCATTTGTTGGGCTGGTAGATGAGGCGGATAAGATCAGCCCATCAAGAAAGTCTTTATGAAGCCGATACCACCCTAAACCACTGAAGCATACAAAGCCAGAAGAAGGGAAAACACAACTCCGTGTTGAATGGGAGCACCCCCAGGTGGTTAGGGCACACGGAGCAAGGTTCAAACACGCTGACAAATGAGGGCAGGATGGTGTCCTGGTGAAGGAGCCAGAGTTTCTAGGCTCAAATCTCGCAGTTGTAGGACTTTGGGTGAATTACTCTGCTCAGCTGTGAAGTGGGAGTTATATTCCCATTTTGCAGTTGGGAATTGTGTTCCCATTTTACAATTCCCTACATTAGCATAGTCAAGCATTGTGTGCCCTAAAAAATTATCTCACTAACTAGATGACTTCAGACTAGACCATACATTCTCAATAATGACAAAATTTCCCCCATCAGGATGAAGATTGATTCTTGGAAGGAGAATGTATGAAAAAAAATCTGTGGCCTTAAAGTGGACACAGTGCTTGTACAGATAGATACAAAGCACATGTGTCCAGGTCACCTGCATTTTAACAATGTAGAAAGGTTGAAAAACAGTGCGCTAGGGGAACAGAGTACACAATAAGTCTTATTATAATTAATCATATATTAAACAAATAATTTCATTAATTCACTGGATTTGTTTTAATTATATGAAAGCAGATATTTCTTACTTCCGTTGACCACCTGGGGTGGCATTCTTCCATCTGAGTAATTCACACAAGCAATATTGTTTGCCTTTGGTTTAGATCATTTAGATATTATTAGTGACTCTTTTCAGATGGGAAAATGAAGGCCAAGGAGAGTTACTTTATAGGGATAGAATTATGTGTTTTTGAACTCCCACTAAGGTTCTATTTTAAGCTCTAAGGCCACACCAAAAGAATGGCTTTTACCTCTCAGCCGTATAAAGTTGGTTTTGATGTGTTTTGAGTCATTCAAGCTAAAAGGAAATGTTGTATAAGCTAGTGGGACACTTAGAGCAGTTGGCATCTGGCTGCTTGTTGCGACAGCTCACTGTTTTATATGTAAAATACCCAGTTTATTATTTAGAACACTTGTGGTCTAAGATGTTGCCATCACACATGCTATCTGTGGACGCTCTGGACTCAGCAGGTGGGCCAGCCCTCCATTCCCACTTTGTTGTCCTGAATGCAGGCTGGTGGGCAACTCTAAATGGTCAGAAGGGAAACAACTGTCCATAAAAAGGATGGGAGAAATGGGTACTTGAAAACTCAGGGAGACTATGCCTGCCTGTGACAGGTGGCAGAGAGCCTGGGCTTGCAGCCCAGAGGCTTCAGAGCTACAAGGATC